TCTGTATCGTATTACTGGAGGCATAGGCAGCTGAAGATTGAGATTTGCTGTTGTGCAGCCTGAAACTAAGGAGTCATGCAGAAAATCAAGGTACAGCCTGTTTCAAAGATAAGAGGGCAAATTTTTTCAATGGAGTAGGAAGGCAGAATGTTGATATGGCTTTCAAAATCCTTCCTTTTTCTTCAGCAGAATTAATCTTGTCCTGCTACAATCTGGCTTCAGCTATTTGCTCTATTTTTAGTTACCAATCTTAGCCAGGTCCTCAAATAGCTCAGAGCTGGTGTTGTTTGTGTCTGATGTAAAACTGATACAGACTTGGCTGGTATTTTCATTCATGTTTCATAATCTTCCCCAGAGCATACATTAAGACAGTGTCTTTGGTGTGCAGGGAGGAGACATTTGTATTGCTGTGGAGTAGATCAGACACTCATTGTTTGACACTTACAGTGCTCCTCATGTGACCCTAAAGGAATAAGAGAAAACATTTTCATGGAAATGAAGTTACTTATTTACTATTAACGGGAGAGAGGTGTCACAGTTAAAAAGGTGCAGGAAGCTCTCTCTTGAGATTCCTTAAGGGCAATCTCAGAGTAACCCTAAAGTTTTTCTCTTATTTGTGTATTGAGTCCTTCATACAATCTTGTGTGCTATGAAGACGACCATAAGTGTAAGACAGAATTAGTGGTTTACTTTATTTTTGAGAAAATAGTTAATTCAAAATTAAGCCATTAAAGAGCTTTTTGAACATCATTGATATAAAGCTTTCTTCCACAGAAGAGAAAGAATATGGATATAAGACCTTGCAGGGAGCTTTTATTGATCAATTAAATTAAAATGGACACAGTGAAGAACAAAACTACCAACAAAAACTATGAATAATCTCATTAATATTTCCTGGTAAAGTAGTCATATCTCTAATTACATTACTTTTTCTTGCACTGGTCTATGTAAGTAGGATCATTAATATCATTTAAAACATCTGATAAGAGTTAACTTTTGAAATAAGATTTTTCTTCTTTCCTATGAAATAATGTATCTTTTCAGACATTGAAGGATTATAAATTCTCGGATTTAGAAAATTGGAATGTAGTTGTTAATTTTGGTTCTGTGTCTCTGAGAAATGCATTCAGCAATCCACACAATATTCCTGCATTCTTGTTCCTTTAACTTTACATAGGCATAAAATACTCCAAAATGAAACTGGTTGTTGAATGCAAGCACATTCAGCTTTACCTGTGGAAAAGGTGAAACAAGTGTTATGAAAAAATATTAAAGAAGGCAAATGTGATTTTTATATGTTAGCTTTTATGATCAAGATTTCTATGTAACTTTGCAGCCGACTATCTTTGGGAGTCTCTTGAATATAAATATAATTGAAATGTGATCTCTGGTTTAATTTCAATAATAGACTACAGCAACATTACAGGTAAGTAAAGGACAGTGGTGAAATTCCTTCTTCAGTAGACTATTCAAAAGAAATTTCATTAAGCAGTTTATATGAGATGACTTTTGGATAGGCTGTCAGGGTTGACAGCTCTATAACTAGTGTTCATAAGAATGTCCTGGGATTTATTTTATTTTAAAAGGTAAATCCCTCTATTATAATTCAACCAAATGTTGACAGCCATAGAAATACTTTATTCTTGAATACAAAGCTGAATGATGCAGTATAGTAGAATCAAAAGCCCATTCTTGTTTTAAATTTTATTCTGGGTGGATAACTTTCATTTTGATATTTTAAGGTTAGAAGCTCTTACCTCATGTTCAAAAAATGCATCTTCCAGTGTCTTTTCTCCAGTGCCACTCCCTACACCTTCAAACACAGCCTTGTATTCCTAAAAGCATAGACAACCACCCAATGAAAATAAGGTACTTTTGCATTCTGTGCAGCACAGGTACCTTGCATTACTTCATTAATTAATCTATGTTAAGTAATCTTTCTCTATAGAAGAACTTGTATAGATTACAGCTCTACATAAATCAAAAATTAAACGCATATAGTCAGCAAAAGAAAGAAAAATCACATTTGTTCTTGTATTTCTTACTGTCATTTCCTACAACTTTAAGTAATTTACTGAAGGCACTAAAAGAGACTTATTGTAGAATGACACATGACTTTTCCGTCCTTTGGACAGAGAGCACTGAACTTCTTGTACAAATAGTATCTATCAGAGCCAGAGCTGTAGATGTAGCCAAAACCCTGAACTCTGCTCTTCGCACGGCTGCTCTTTTTTTTTTTTCCAGTAGTCAGTTGGATTTGCTTTGTCTGTGTTAATATTATATCTAAATCCGTTAGTCTGTTATGTCATACTGGAATATTCTGCACATATATATTTGACTTTATTTCTTATATGTTACGTTTCTGTGTAATTTGCCTCTCCGTGTAATTATTTTGGTTTCCTATAAGGTACCAATGCAGTATAGGTCTAGTACAATGGTTCACAAATTCATCTAAATATCCCGCCATCACATGAATAGACTTGCTCTGTACCACATTGACGTGGTGACACATGCTTCTAACATTCTGTTTATGCACAGGAACAGATGTGCATCTCCAGCTTTGTTTCTTCTGTGGAAAAAGCAGTAGACAATACATCATTTTGTTTTGTGTACCTACTTAGAGGTAAATATTATAGGTAGTCAGAGTAGCATAGTTAATTCATAGAGCAAGTGTTGCATATTGGCTCCTATTTGTAATAACACTAGTTGCATCAGTATTAACAACTTCACCTACTTTGATTGAATCAGTGATTTAGAGAAAACTTTTCAGAAGGGTATTTTTATGGAGCATTAGCAATAGATCAGGTTTCCACTCATCTCTGACATGAATTGTTTGATCAGCTTATTTTAAAATGTCTTATGCTTTTGCTCAAAAATCGTAGAGGGAGCAGCTGTTAAGTGAAACTCACTTTGGGGAGGGTTAGTGAAGTAGGAAGAGTTTTGCTTACTGCAATGTGATTTGGTCTTGTTTAAACATCACTGTAAGAAGATCTTTGTACTGCAGTAAGGTAACGATATACCTTATGTCTTAATACCAAAGGCCTTTGATTCCATATACGTCTTTACGGGATCTTTTGTACCTTTGCTGATTTTTTTCTCTCTTAAAAATGCTTTTAACTTACGTGAATACTCTTTAAAATTTTGCTGACATCAAGAGGTATTAAGTATTGGTATTTTGGCTTTTTGTTTTAAGAAATTAGATTACATACTGCATAGTAATCTGCAACACACTTCACTTGCTCGTAGTCATCTGCATTGGCCAGCAGGTGTAAGCCTTCTGGATACAGTTTTCCACAAGTTGGATACAGCTTCTCTCGATCATCTTTACTCAGCTCAGTGCCAAATGAATTAATGGTGATGATAAAGGCACGTCTGTCTGCCTCAAACTTAATGGGCAAAACAAAGAAGAAAGAGGTGTTATTAGAGATCTCATTCTAAATTAAGGTGAGAGTGGATTTTTTTCAGTAAACTAAACTATGGAAACTTTAAAAAAAAAAGTGAACTTCAAGGCATTAGAAACATACCTTATTTTAAAAATTGTAAGCCCATATTTGCAAATACTTGTTAAATTTTAACTCAAAAAACAAACTGTGTTTTGCAAGCACAGCTTTTATTCTGTGATTTTTAAACTGAAAATATCATCTCTGCTACTTCCTCATTTCCCTGCTTAGTTGCACAGATGTTAACAACAAAAAAATCTCATTGCACACCCTTCTGAAATTACGAAATAATACTCTTACAAATAATAGAGGAAAGGAGCAAGAATCAATAGTACTGTTCTGGTGTAACTCAGAGTGCTGTTGAGGGTAAAAGGTTGAGTGGAAATTCTGAAAAAAAAAAAAAGAATTTCTGAATGCATATATTTAAAACTATAATTTAATAAGGTGGAGGGGGCTGTTTACTTACTATGTTGAAGTTTTTAAGTGTTTCATGTAACAGTTATTTTTTAACAAACAGAATCTAGGACTATATTTCTTCTGCCAGATTTAGATACTTGTAGTATCTGTATTTTCCCTGCAGCAGTAGACTGAAAGTCATTCTAATGTCTACATCTCATGTTCTTTTGTACAAGGCAAAATTTCACTTGCCATTCTTCCAGTATGAATTGAAAATGTAATGGTAAATAAAAATAATCTTACTCAGTTCTTTCTGATTTAAATCTGTTCTTCTGTCTTGAGATCTAAATGGGCTATAGTTTTATTTCTTTCATTTATTACTTACTTTCATCTTGTAAGAACAGCAGAACCTTTGCTAATTGCAGGGATTACACAGGAAAATCTTCCAAATGAAACATATATAGTATACACACATTTTAGGCATCTTGCAAAATTTCTTATGCTGTGAATTTTTGAACTGGTTTAAGCAGAAAGATATTCTCTTCTCTTGAATAATAAGACTGCAGTTGCAACACAGTTTTACAACTGTAGCAGATAAGCACATATTCACAGATCCTACTCCTGTGTACTGGAACACGCTGTCACAGGGATCCAGCTGCCCTCTGGCACTGACTTCAGAGTAAGGAAAATGAATAAACAATAGAGAAATAATGAGAAGAAAATAAGTGTGCTTGAAAAGATTTCTAGCTAATGAATAACAGCGCCAAATTTCACTTGCCTTATTAATATAAACAGGCATATCAATGCTAGCGAAACTGTTTTGGAAAGACAAATGCTTTGTGTTTTTAACTTGTCAAAGCCATGTAGAATCTAGTTGTTAGATCTGTAATATTTTATTGGGAAAAAAGCATGCTCAGATGCAATTGCAGCTAATAGTAGCAGCTTTGGGGCCTAATTCTGTGGCTCTCAGTTTGAGAAAATTTGCAGGATTGATCCCATCCATACCGACCCCTCGGTTCATCAAATTATTGGCACATGAGGTTCTCCACGGTGAGTAAGATCATGAGGCAGTTATTTGGTGACTTGATTGCTGCAGGCAGAGGTGAGGTCACAGGATGACCATTTCCTAAGTGCTTTAGTTTCCATATGGGAAGCTGAAGTAGCATTTCTGCTACTTGTGAATTAGTATGGGGCCCTAATAACAGACATAGCAGTAGCTGCAGTGCAGTACTGCAGTTTCTTGCCAGGGTTAAGCATGCAACGTTTGTTGTCCATGGTGAAAGAGAGATCATCAGCACTTTTAATGTGAAAGGCGGCCCCACATTGGTGGTCAAGGAGTTGAGGAGGTAAATATCTCAGCCTCATTCAGATAGAGCCAGGTTGGTAGTCTTACATATAAGATTACAGAACAAATAGCAAGTATTCTTTTGAGTAATTAAACTTTGGCTTTTTGTGAATTCGACCATTAACAATCTACTCTATGTGTCTTCAGATTATTATTAAAATGTTGTAGAAAAGAAAATCTTCTACAGAAAAGTTTATCCTCCTAGCTGATTGACATTAGATAGGGATTTTAAAGAAGCTTATCACAGACCAAACTGTTACAACTGGTATAAAGAGAGTTTTACAACATGCTTAGACTAAGGTTGATAAGTAATCTGCTCTCAGCATGTATTTCTAGCTAAAAAGGAACTTTCTGAAAAATCTGAATCATCTGTGGAAAATGTCTTTACCTCTGCCAGCCAATCTCTTTATTTTTATTTTTCAGAAAGGAATAGTCAAAATACTTAATTTCTGGTCAATTTAACTTGATTAAGAATATTTTCTTTAGAATATAAACTGAAACATTATGACCTAGTTAAACAAAATGAAATTGCATTCCCTTTTACGACATTGTTTCCTAAGATGTAATTTAGGTTCTTTCTTCCTTCAGGGGTGAGCTCCCAGGGTTATTGTCTCTCTCCTATAATGCAAACTTTTAGTGTGATGTCATTAGAGCTCAGTGAATTTTGTTCAGCCAGTTTCCAGGGTGTAAGCTTTGCCTATCCAGGAAAAAAAAAAAAAAATCTTGGAAGCAAATGGGTGATCTGGCTCTCAAGCTCTGAAAAAAAATGTGATAAACCATGTGAAAAAAAATGGATCTGAATGCTGAGAACTCAATTTTAGAAATTTCTACATCTTTTATTACAGTAACAGATACAAAAATGTCATTCATTATGCTGCAGGTAAGCTTTGGGGAGGAGTACATTAGGAATTTTGTATGTCATAGAAAAATTAAATATTAAACTTTCCTGAGTTGAGCCAAAAATAAAATATGTAATGTTGGAATTTCTGTATTACACTAGTTCCAAGGATCACTCAATTCTAACTTCAATCATTAATTTTAATAGGAGAGTAAACAAACATAACAGTGCCTTAATTAGTAAATATACAGTAATGGCAGACCTTAGCCATCTGAAATTTAATTTTGAGATAGGAAGTGTAAGAATAATCCACTTTTTTAGTTTTTCTACACAATATAGAAAAATGTTAAGAGGCAACAGGTTGAGATTGGTTCTTGAGATTAGTGAACCATTTACTCAGTCTTTGTTATAGAAAAATACTAACTGAAGCTAACTCCACCTGGGTAATGGACTAGCTGCTTCTCTAGTCAAGAGGTAAAAGCCATCCAAGAATAAAGGCTTCATTACATCTTAGAAAAACAGCTGTTATTCAGATGAGAAGCAAACATTTGACAAATAGCTTTGTAAATGAAGAAAGAATGAACAGGAAGAACAAAGTAACCTAATTATGAAAACATCGTGGCATACTTACATGTACGAAGACTGGATTTTTCTTACCTCAAGAATAGGTCTCATGATTTCTGCTGTTGTACCACCTTGTTTTTCGCAAAACTTATAAAATGCCTCAAGATAAGACTACATGAAAGAAGAAAAGATATATTTTAAATGCTACTTAAGACCTGAACCAGCATAGCACAGTCATGAACCTAATTTTTAAATACTTTCATTAACTTTGATAATTCTACCTATGAATTTAAATTCAAGCATGTGCTTAATTACTTTGGTGGCTTTAAAGTCGAAATATTAAAATGCAAATGTCTTGTCATTACAATATGGGTTCAAATGTTTTTTAACAGTTGTTATAGGACAAATACTATGTTTTCTTTGCTCTCTAAAGAAGGAACTTCTTGAGCTCTGTTGAGCTTCCACTGCATGATAAGCAGATGGCTGAAGGAAACTCTGTATTTATAGTGTGGAGGAGGGGATTTGGGAATATGCCATGGCTGTTGGGCCAGCACTATGAGGATACACAAACTAATCCCTACTGCTCTACCCTGAACCCTGGATTAGAACAGAACAACAGACAAAGCTTCTGTAATACTGGTCTGCAGAGCTCTCTGGTCTATTAAGGTTTCTGGCCTTCACACACGTTTCAAAATACCTGTGCAGGAAGGGCCCTAAATATCTCAGAGATGCTGTTCCCCCTGCCTCTCCATCCTTCAAAATACTGTCTTAGAGAACATTTATGTTATCGAAATGCATTTGCTGTGACTTCCCACAATCTTGTTAAAAGAAGCTGTGACTAACTATGCAATTAAGTGAATTTTAAGTACAGACACCTCAAGGGGAATCTGCTGCATGGGATTATGTGTTAGATTCTGTATGGCGTTATCTGATAGTAGAGCTGAAACATAATTGATCACATTGACAACTGAAGCAGAGGAAAAAGGATATATTAATAATTTAGATGTGTTTGCAGAATGATCCCCCTGATACTTACAAGAGTGAGAAGAAAAAAAAACAAAAAAAAATGTATTTTGTAAGTGTAAATGTATAATTATCCACACAGGATGTAAGAATCAAATGCATATATTATCAAATGGAAAAAGAGTGTCTAGTTTAGTAGTAATGTGAAAGAATTAAAATACTTGGGTGTAACTGACATTTTGAATGAGAGGAAGTAGCAGAATACTTAAGTCAAATATTGCCTTGGGAATTTATAAATATCATTTGTAAGACAAACAGAAGAATTTTTTTTCTTTCCCCCTAGTGCAATCAGATCACTGTAAGAATACTTCCTGCAGTCTGGGGCATCCACTGTGAAAGAAAGATAACAAAGAATTTGGAGAGAATTTGCCAAGAGGAACCATTAACAGAATGAAATATGTATAGCTTTTAAAGAGACCATCCTAAGAGTATTGACCTGTGCACTAATATTTGTAAAGTACTTTGAAAATGCAAGGCATTTTGTGTTAGATGCACATCCTTACAGCAGTGTGTTGTAGCAATGCTAAAGATAATTTTAAAAGAAAATTATACAAAACTCCTAAGTAAAAAAAAAATGTTAGCTAGACTCAAAACAATTAGACCTTTTCAAATCACATCTACCTTTAATAAAGAAAAATAAATGTTAGCCAAAAGCCTGTCTAGGCTCACTTAGGAGCTAACGGTTCTGTGGCATTTGGTGGATAACTGAGTTATTCATAAACAAATGGATCTGCATATTAGCCTGACATCTAAAACATTTTCATTAATGTGACATTAAATTAGAATTTGGATCCAGACCTAAAATTTGAAAACTCTCCAAACAGTGGAGTAGAAATGAAAGGAGCTGGATTTGATTCCTGGACTTGTCATCAACCAGGTGACCTCAGGCAGCTTGCTTTCTCACCATGCTTCTATTTCCCTATCCATAAAACAGGGTTAATGATACTGACCTCCTTCTCTGTGACATTTTGAAAAACCCCAAGCATTATCATTAGGTTGCAAGAACTTGCCTTGTACAGTTTGTTGCGCATTATTTCAATGTTCATTTCATCCAGGTCATTTTCAGACAAGCAGTCTTGAAAGAAAGCAGCTGAAAGCAGAGTTTATTTATTATATTGTAGTATAAATCTACATACTGGTAATATACATCTCTATTGCAATTCACCAAGGCAAGGATCTGAGGTTTCTGTTGTACAAGAAAGAGTGATATAACAGAGAGGAAGAGAAATCCTCTTGATTTTCCCCTTATCCTCCTACTCCCTCCTTGTTAATGAGAATCTGCTGTGAGGGGAATCAATCAGTGCCACAGCCAGAGTCCACGTCTCTGGAGAGTCAGATGGGAAATGCTAATAAAAGCCCTAATCTTCTCTGAAGTATATGGTTTGGGCATTAGGGAGATTTTCTAGTGAGGAACATGAAAGATAATTTTTGTCTTAAATCATGCAGGTATTCCACAATTGTTAAGGAGAATCCTCTTTCCTATTTTCCCTCTTCTTCTTTGCGTGTGTTTGTAGAGGGCAAAGGGCAACAGGTTGCAGCTGGTAAGAGGGACAAGCTTTGACCTTGACCATCTAGCTTCCAGGTCCTCTGCAGAACTGGCTAAACAGCAGGCTTTCGAACAGAGAGGCAGAGGATGAAGCTCATTTAGAAAAAAAAATTCCACAAATTTACTACCGGCTGTGTAAATAAAAAAATATTATTTTACGTGTTTTAAAACTAGTTTTCTGCTCATATTTGGTCTTCTAATAGATTCAGCGAGCAACAGGTGGCAGCTGACTGTGGACAAACCCCTGCCCTCGCAGGGCAGCCGCAGAGGGGAGCCCGGGGCTGCCCCGTGCCAGACGCAGCGCATTCCATCCGGCTCTGACAGGCCCACCACAGGGCACAGCTGAGCCCCTCAGCCAAGCTACTGGTGCCACTGGGAAAATGTGTTTAAGAAAGGGCAAAAGCCACAGGGTGTAGAGAGGAGGAGGGAAAAAAATGTTGAGAAACACCAGGGTCCGAGAAGGAGGAGGAGTCACTCCATGGCGTTGGAGCAGGTATTCCCTGCTGCCTGTGGAGGACCTGCGCTGGAGCGGATGCTCCTGACAGGAACCACAGCCCTTGGGGAGCCCATGCCAGAGCAGAGGATGAGTGTGAGAAGGAAGGAGCGGCAGAGAGAAATCGCCGTGTCCTGACTGTAAGCTCCTGCCATTCCTTGTGCCGCTCATTGCCTCTCCAAAGGAAATGAGCATAACCTGCAGTGATAACAGGGAGGCAAAGGAGAGAAGCCTGAAGCAAAGGAGTGGGAAAGGAGGAGGACAGGTGTTTTCCCTAAGCGTGTAACTGTTTGTTTCTTTCCGTTTGTTTGTTTGTTTCCTAATGCCTGAATCTATAGTTTAATATATTAGTATCAATCCATAATAAATCAAGTTAATTTTCCCCAAGTTGAATCTGTTTGCCTGCAACAGTGCTTGGTAGGTGGTCTCAACCCACAAACTCCTTTCCATGCCCACACTCCATTTTTTCCCCTCATTGTGCTGGGGGCAGAGGTTGAACGAGTGGCTGAGTGGTAGTTTGGCTTCTGTCTGGGTTCAGCCCACCACACGTTCTTGAGAAGCTGAACCAAAATCCACTCACAGTGATCAAGATGAGGGCACACAGTGGTTTCATACATGTTCAAATCTATCCAGTTCCATCATATTCTCAGTATCCTTCCCAGCAGTGCCCCACAGCTGGTTAGCTTTTTGTTTGTTCCTGTTGGCTGCTGCAGCACATTGAGCAGAGTTTCATCCCAATTTCGGAATGTGACATTCCCAAGCCTCGCTCTGTTTTGCTTTTAGATCTAGTTCTTTAAAATAGGGTTTTTCTCTGCTTTTGAATCATGCCCAAATCCCGAGAGGGAATCTGGATTCTACCACAACATCTAATATTTATTATTAACTGTCTGCTTCTTGATCCTTAGTGAGGGATAGGCAAGATTTCATCTTACATTTTTTAATTATAGATGCAGGTGTTGAAATAAAAATCTAAATGTTCTAAATCAGTGGCTACTTTGGGTATAAAAGATATCCATTACACTTCTTGAGTAGCATGTTTTCTTTTTGTCTGCTACCCAAGGTTGACATAGAAGCTGTTAATAAATGTTACTTGAAAATGTCCTGGACATCACTTCAGAAGTGCTTGATCCACACTTCATGTTTTGTGTTACCAAAACACAGCATATCCAGTGAAAAACATGCCACTCTATCTGAGATATTCTTAGGAATATAGAGTGAGTATTTTCAAGAAGCAAATAAGAAATAATTTAGTGTTCTTACCTAATGGTGTGTCAACCAAAATTGCATTGAACAGCTCAGTGGGGTTTGAGGCAATGCTGACTGCTTCCATTTGCTCAAAACTCCCCAGTGGATGGCACTTGGGAACAAGTTCAGCAATGGGCCGCTGATGTAATGTACCAGTTATTAAAAGAATTACGTTGTCAATCATGTAGCTGTATCTGTATTAGAAAGAAAATGTAAAAGAAATTAACCTTATCTTTATAATGAATTTTCCTTTGAAAAAATGCAAAACCAAGATTTTTGAAAATTAGTAATAATACTAAAGTCAGAAATTACTACAGTATTTGTAGGTTTGTTCATTCACTCTGTATCAATGTGTCATTTATCAAAAACAAGCATAAGTTTTTAAATAGCAAGTAGGTAACATACAGTATTGATTTTAAATACATGACAGTTTCAGAAAGAGACACTTTTAAAGAAGGGGAAACTGAAACATGAATATAATAAACATAACAGCTGTGAAATGTAGATTCACTGTAACAGGTGACAATGAGTGGTATCAAGGTATCACCTGAGCTAGCAGCTTCTCTAGTTTGGGATTTTGTTATTTCATATAGACCATATGGACAGAGAAGTGGGTGGGATCTCGGAACTAAAATTGCAGAGTTCATTGGTCAGATGAACCAATCTTAGGGCTTTCTTCTCACTCAGCTTTAAAGGTCCTCCCGTGAGGAAACTAAGACCAGGTTCTCACAGATTTCTTCTTTATTGATAAAAGTTTTCAGTAAAGTTTTCAGCAGAAATTTTCTATTAGCGTCTTACTAGTTTTACTGTCAGAGAGACTGAGAAGAGTTTTGTCAGTGACCTGGAAATGTGAAAGCTATTCCCTTACAATGCTTATAACAAGAATTCCAGTCTTCGGCTTGCACTATTGTTTCAGAACACAGTTGGAGACATATAGGGATTAATATGATCTCACACCAAATCTGGGAGGGGGGGTCAGAGACCTGATGAAATGTTGTTCAATGATTTAATAATTATGGTAAGTATCTTAAGCTAGTGTCTCCATTATTAAAAAAAAAAACAACAGTGCGCGGAGATTGTGCATACACATGTACACAGGAATGTCAATCAGTGTGAGAAAAGAGCTGCAATAATTTTCATATTTTCTCTTTTATTTCTCTGAAGCAAAATGTAAACATTGTATGCCTCAGGCCACAGCTGTCCTAGGGCAGCCTTTGAGATCCTGTTGACATATTCACCTAAAACTGGTCAACTACACTTGACCCTCCCCCCCAAAAAAAAGAATACTGATACTTTACTTTGCTGTTATGAAAAAATACTCCTTAAAAGTAAGCTGACCAGTCTACTGTTCTTGTTACAATATATTAAAAAGATAAGATCAAGGGGAGTAAACAGGTAAAATATCCTGCTGACATTTCACTAATCCATGTTGTTATACTGTTATAAAACACATCCTTGTTCTTAATGTTAAGCCTTTCATTGACAAATTTCATCTGTTTATAACTGTATTGAGATCAGACCTTTCTCTTCATCTGGCTTCAAAGAGCACTTAGAATCGTCAAATCATAGAACTGTTTAGGTTGGAAGAGACCTTTAAGATTGAGTCCAACTGTTAACCTAACACTGCCTAGTCCACCTCTAAACCACGTTCCTAAGCACCACACCTACACATCTTTTAAATACCTCCAGGGATGGTGACTTGTATTTTTTAAATAAGCTACTTGAAACTAAGTATCTTGCTATACACAACATAAAGTTTTTCTGGTTTTAATGTTCAAGTGGTATAAAACGTATGACAGGTGTATGATGTGTTGCCTTTCCACTTTTAAAAAAATCTAGAACTTGCCACATGCCTGTACGCAATGAAATTGCTTATCTTGCATGAGTCAACCCCATAAACTTCAGTTTTACAAGTTCTCTGACGTAAATGATGTTCAAAAATTAAAACCATTTTTCTCAATCTCTACAACTCCTCCTTCCACTGTGTCCTTTAAAATGTGCTTACGTCCTTTAAAATAAGTGGTTGCAAAGACAACAGCTCTTCATATATACATTTTCAGAACCTACATTTGCAAATCAAGTATGCAAACTTTGCAGTATAAAAATAATTTTGGTATTTTTGAAATTTCATAGAAATTCAAGTACAATGCATTTACACTGTTATAACTTGTTGCTGTGCTTTTACTTTGAGTCTATGTGGTAAGCTATGTGGTAACATTACTTACGTAATAAAATTCAGAAAAGTGGCAAGTGGTTCAAAAGCATGGTTTCTGAAGTAATGAAATTCCGTGAGTAGCTTTGCTTTCAGTTTATCATCGATAGTAGAAATAGTGAGAGGGCCGGTTTCGTTAGCCAAGAAGTTGCCATAGTCTGTAGTCTGTAGATGTAACTTCAGATCTGAAATTAGATTGAAGGAAGATCATGAGAATAAACTATCATTATATTGTCTACAAACCAAATCAAAAAACTTTTAAAACGTTCATTTCTAATATTACATTTTCATGTTAAGTGTCTGATCATACTCTATGGAAAAGGTTTTGCCACAGAATTAACATAGAGTAAATGCATAATTACTGCAGATTTGTACTGCCTGCTACCAGTAAGACTTACTGAACGGCACAGGAAAGCACAAATAATTTACACCTTTGTCAGGAGTTTCACTGCCAACTTTCGTTTCCAGCCACACCATACACAGTGTTAAATACAGCAGTCCTGAGCCTCCTCCCAACCAAGTTTGCTCAATGTTTTGATTTCTTGGATTTGTTCAGGGCACCACTCTTGCACCATTATAATACATTAGTTTTTTTGTCTCCTGCATTCCTATGAACTGCTATGTATCAATAGGAATCATCCTTTAACTTTGTTAAGACCTTAATCTTCATATGAAACATTTAAATCTCTGGTAAGACTATAATCTTATGTTATCAGATTGCCTCAAGAAGAAGGAGAACACATCTTGCCTGGCTCAGATTCTGGGCTCCAAATGGCTTCTGCAGTGGAGCACTTGAAAGCGCGAAGTTATGTTCTCTTAGCATTTCTGGTTGGCTTTGCCTGATTTATGGTTGCTACTACCAGATCCTAAGAAGCTATTCCAGAAGCTTGGGTTATCATGACATATTCTGAGATCACAACCCTGATAACTGAGGAAAATGTGTTGATTAGACAACGAAGTTGAAAGAAGCTTTTGTAATATGAAAGAATTCATTTGACAGGTTTCTTCTGCTAGCCATTTTCCACGAGGCATAAGTAAGAATTTGATTCAGTTCTTAGTGTTCAAAGTGGTTTAACATTTCCTTTTAGAAAAGCCATATTGCATAATTATGTTCAAGTACTGTAAATTACAGATTGGGATAATGTTGTATGGTTTGGGCATTCATAATGATTAGATTTCCAGATAAAATATGAAGTGATATTTAAAGAAAAGGACAGCAATACTCCCACTGTCTGAAAAAAAGGTGTACCTATAAGGGAAGTTAATATGCAATTAGCAAGGTGTGCATTTATCAGTATAGTAGCTGCTCTTTCCTAATTCCCCACATCTATACTTTCTTAGCATGCCACAAGATTGCCTACACTGAGACTTAAAGTACTAGTACGTTGCAAATTCAAACTCCTACGTCTAGCGTTCTAGTTTACTGAGATAGATAACCCTCAGAATTTTCTATGCAGTTTAGCTGCCACTTGAGCTCATTTTAGCAATTCCATCAACAGACTCTTGGATAGGACAGCCTTACTAGAGCTAGCTCTCTGGAACTGTTATCATTTCTCTAGATCTTCCTCCAATAGACTGAACTTATGACAGCAGTGTAAACTAATTGCTTCTTAAAATTCTATAGGTTGTCACAAAACTGTTGAAAAAAGAAGGCAGAGGTAATTGGTCTTTCAATGGTCAGAGACAGATACTAGGAAATAGTCACAGTTTCAGTGCAGGCTTCCATGTGGGAATAAGAGAATCCAAGTATGAAAAAAGGAAACCGCTTAATCCAAGAGAGAGAGAAATGTAAAGAAGATTAAGAGATAATTAAAAATGCTGAATTATGCCCAGAAATGAGTCTAAATATGTAAGACCAACTTTTAGAAAAATCACTAATATTTTCCTATCACAACTACATTTCCTGTGAAAACTGATTTTTGCTTTCTCTTTTTATTTCAAAGAAGGTAAAAATACTTGGCATATGGTGGGATTAGATAATACTACCTCACTACATGCAGAGAGCTGAATCAATTTTTTCTGCTTTCCTCAATTCCTTTTTAGATGAACCGTTGATATTTACCTGGAGTCATACCCTGTCAATGCATTCTGAACACGGTGGTTTTCAGAGGTTTAGTACCTAAAGCAGACTGCAAAACCCAAATATCAGCCCAAGTATTGACTGTTCTGAAGTGTGTTTAACATCATCGTGAGATGAACAGAAACCAAACCCAGCTGGTTGAGAGTAGTTTGACAAGACTGTATTACCTTCCTCAGTTCTTTTGTTGAATGAGTGGCTTCAAAATCTCTATTCTAATGAAAGGCACAAAAGATACTAGCTACAACACACTAAATAGCCCCACCTGGCTCTCAAAAGCTATGGAGGAAATACTGTGCCCAGGAGTATTGGGTTTATGACCCTGTCACTTCCACAGCCTGCTTTAGAGAAGTATTTCTTCTAAACCATTTAATAAATGCCAGCATGCATACTGTATGTTAGAAAGAATATTCAACCCTAGCTTGTGGCCTTGGCGAAAACAATTGAGAAAATAGTCACGCTCAAGCTCTGATACCATGTAATATCAATCAGGAATGTCACAATCAGAGTTCACACTACGGCAGGGTTCAGTGCAGCTCTGAGGTTGCTCTGCTAGTCTTAAATGATATTATCTTGGCCGTTGGCATAAATAAGACCTGGAGACTAGCACAGTCAGACACTTGTACTAGTAATGTGACCTGATGACCAGGCAGGAGTAGATGGCTGAGCACTACAGGGGCTTCAGACATTCCTGTTCATCAAAACTTTTTAGTGAAGGTCGCTGCTCCTTTTCTCAGGAGCTCTTGGAAACCTACAGAAGAACCTGGGCTTTTCAGCATGTCTACAAGATCCCTAGGAAAGAAAATTCCTGTATTTCAGCTATCAGTGTTATTGCCATCCATCTGCACTGTGTAATTCCTCATACAATTATATGTAGGAAAATCATATGTAGGAAATGTACGACTTTAAATAATGTGATTTTAAATCACGTGATTTTAGATCACATGAGTTTACTCATGATTGAACAGCAACCAAAACCACTTAACAGTATGTCTAAAGGGAATTAATGCACAGAGGGAGTCTGGTTTAAGATGAATGCAGTTAAGACAGGAACGATGCTGATCAGGAAGAAGGAGTACTGCGAGAAGTTGAACAAAGCGTTAACCTGATCTCCTGGTATCAAGCACGTGGAGTCTTGTCTGAATCCTCATTTTGATAGCCAGCTACCCCCAGTTTTCAGTTGCACTGTAATTTCAGCTGCCGAGTGCTGGCGTGTCCTGGCTCTGACAAGTTAAGTGAACGTATTTCAGTGAAGTTAGTGAAAGCAGAGCTGGGCTGCTTGTCCTTCTGGGACCTAGTCCCCCTTCTAGAGAGCAGTAGTCTTTCCACCACACATTGAAGCATGGAAAGAAGAAAGCACTGGATTTAACCCTCCCCCATATTCTACTTCAAAGACTGTCATCAGGGTTCCTCTGAGGCTCCCATTACCCTGAAATAGATGATGATGTAGGGCCAAACTAGTAGCATGCCATGTGGCAGAGGTTTCAGCCAGTGTTGTTACCCACAAGACAGCTCTATGGAAATTATAATAATTCAAACAAGCCCAGAAGGATGTCTAAGTTAAGCTGAAGGCCTCTTCTCCTCTCTGTGTGGCCCTGAATTGAGAGGACAAGGTGGTATCATATGTCAATTAGCATCCTCCTTTTTTTCTTTTCCTCTCACTGCTATACTTACTCTGTGATTATCAAGGAGGTGTAGAGCACTAACCTACAGTTTTTCTTGTGGTTCTTCTGTACTGAAATTATGGTTTGCCCTCTAGAGATATCAAAACCACTTTGAAATTAAAAGATCTTCTTGATTCTATTTATGGGTTACTTGGGGTTGGTTCGATTTTTTTTCTGCTTGTTTGTTTTAGCATATTTATAATATTTTTAACTTAGGCTGGTTTTTGTGGTGTGGTGCTATGCCACAGAGTGCAGAATGGTGTAAATTTATTATCTTTCAATGTGAAGACTTGAACTGAAGGCACTATTGGACAAGCACAATAGCACTACAGTACAAATCCGCAGGCTGGATCTTTTAATTGGAAACAAAATACAATGTATGCATAAAGCTTCATTTTTTACTTTAGAGGTAAGAGTCTAGTTTTGGTGCACTATACGCTTGTGGTGCAAGTTTAATATTACAGCATCCTATATGTGCAGAGGGGTAAGTGTGTTTAGCCTCTGGTACAAATCCAATACTTCTCATATTTTCGTTATAAATAGTACATTTGATAGGTAACTGGTGAGAATCTGTTAGCTGTCTAAAAGATGTAGAAAATGTTACAATGCAGAAAGATGTAGCTGAATAGAGAAAAAAGACGTGATAGTGGGTAGTAGAGATGTGCTTGTAGGTGGGTTGATGAAGGCTGCTGCTTCTGTTGCTGTAATAATTTGCATTCTAAGATTGAATGAATATTAGAAAGAAGAAAATTCAAAAATAAAAAGGTCCTTGTTCTTTCTACTGTAAATCCTACTTAGAAAATTATTTTATTGCTCTATTTTGATCTGCCCATGTATTGCATGCTCTTAATAATATTGAAAGTTTATGTATCTTAGAAATGTTTGAAAATTACTTCCTGGCTGTAAATAACTTTATTGTAGTGTGACTTAAACTTTAAATAGTTTTTCTTAACTGTTCTTAACTTAATATGGCAAGTACTCCTCTGAGAAGGATGAGGGAAATCCTTTTTTCTTGCATGTTTTAAAAAATATTTAAACCTGTATGTTTTCATCTTATTCAGAAGTAATCAAGATTTTATGGGGGAATATTCTTCATGAAGCCTTTGATGACATCATTTATTCAGCTCCTCTGCAGAGAGAAGTGGAGTAAGAGCAAGGTTTAATAATTCCATCGTTTTGTCTTTCGTGTCTTTTACAGATGCTTGAACTTCTATTAGCTTTTTCTGAAGTCTATAACTTCATGGAGCAGGACTTTTTGACTTAAACAATTAAATACAGTATCAAGAGTGTCTGTACAGACTTTTAATTTGTATAAATCACAACTACTGGTACAAATAGGCAACAGAAACTGTTGATTTTGTCCTGCTGACATAAGGAATAGATTTCAATTCTCAGAGTAGGTGGATATATGTGTTCTGTGTCTAAACTGTCGTTTGAAATGGAGAGCTGATACAACTCTCCAGCTTATCAGCTGAAGTAGGTACATGCACTTGGTCAGTTGAGTAGTCTCTAGATCCCATTGACTGTACTGACAATCTCTTCTTTAACTGAGAGGAACTTTATCCTGCTGACAGGTAAATACCTGCATGTATCTATTTAAATGTAGTTGGTTTAATCTGCCAGATGAATGGCAAGCAGTCTTCCCAGACTTATGTTGTTACTATATTAATAGCTTAGGCAGCCTCAAAACTCTGTTATATATGGGAATCATCAGGTTCTGCATTTCTCACTTCCCCAAATTCATTACTGCATACACAAAGCAACCAATGCTTAAAACAGAATGAGCTTATTATTTCTCCTTGTTCCTTTTTCAAATTAATCTAATATACTGCATATTACAGAAATTTCAGTGTGCAACCGTAGCTTTTATTTTGGAGTCGGGGAAAAAAACTTTATGTTCCTTTAGAAAGGTGATAAGGTGATTTTTTTTCTATTGCATTTTTTCCTGCCAAGTTTCTAGAGGTATGTCATATGATTCTTGTACGAGTCTGTCTTCATCAGGCTGTGACCAGTCTTGGCCACAGAAAGCTGTTTTGGAAACTAGCGTGTGTTCTTTTTATTACTGTGGCAAAGTCACCTTGAAAAAAGCACTTTTTTTTTTCTTTAAAGCTTGAGAATAGTTCAGTTTTATCTTTGTGAAGTCTAGTTTTCTCTTCCTGGTAAGTAAAACATCCCCCACTGCCCTAAAACTCACGAAGTAATAAAGTACTTTATAGAGAAACTCAGAGCCAAATGGTAAGCTTTTAATAAGATTTTGGGAACTATTTTATCCAGCTCAAATGATATGAAACTTCTATACTTGAACAGTTCTACAGTGTGGTTAAAATCTGTTAGAAGGTTACCAGTCTCCATAGGAACTCTATGGATGAGATTTCCAAACGTTATCAGTAAAGTAGAAAAATCCCATCATCTGGATTGCTTTGCAAATCACAGTCTGTACGATCCTAGTGTAATTCTTATGGAAAGCTATTAACTTAAATATGAAAACAGTTCTTCAAAGGATATCAATGTTATATTTGGTTTCTAAGCTAAGCTCTCAATACTTCAGTATTTTACCTTAGCTTCTTCAAAGATCTAAGCACTAGTATTTCTTCCTAAATAAAATAAACCAGCAGACTTACCTTCTAGTGTCTCGCACTGTGCTAAATTGACGTAGTCTGCACTTGTCAAGATCCCGGCTTTGAACCCTCGGACCAGACCCTCCAAGTAGCCATGGTCCACGTTGAAGTAAAACTCTGAGTACCCTGGCATGGAGAAAAGGAGAGTTAATCTGCTGAATACCTGATGGTACTGAATATCTGCCACCAACTGTTTTCCTCCTCTTTGGAAGCAGTGACAAACAGTCACTGATTTCCTGCCAGCCTATGATTGTGTTTTACCAACTGGTTTCTTCCTGTTTCTTGCTCCTAGCATAGTTCCAGTATAGCTGATACTTGCACAACAGCCAGCTAGCAAATCCAACTCCCTCCTGTCAGAGCCGGAAAATGAACCTATTATTGTTGAAAGAGAAGCCAAAAAGGAAGTATAAGACTTAACCATTGCTCACAAGAATGCTCTATACTAATTGGAGAATGAGACAGCATATTACAAAGCCTGAGAGCATTTTTGCATTTCTTGAATGTATTATCACAGAATCACAGAATCACAGAATGTTAGGGATTGGAAGGGACCTCAAAGGATCATCTAGTCCAATCCCCCTGCCTGAGCAGGACCACCTAGATCAGATCACACAAGAACGCCTCCAGGCAGGTTTTGAACATCTCCAGAGAAGGAGACTCTACAACCTCTCTGGGAAGCCTGTTCCGGTGTTCTGTTACTGTTACTGGGAAGAAGTGCTTCCTCATGTTTAAGCGGAACCTCCTATGCTCCAGCTTATAGCCATTTCCCCTTGTCCTATCATTGGATGCCACTGAGAAGAGCCTGGCTCCATCCTCATGACAATCACCCTTCACGTATTTATAAACATTAATGAGGTCCCCCCTCAGTCTCCTCTTCTCCAAGCTAAAGAGACCCAGCTCCCTCAGCCTTTCTTCATAAGGGAGATATTCCACTCCCTTAATCAACTTTGTGGCCCTGCACTGGACTCTCTCAAGCAGTTCCTTGTCCTTCTTGAACTGAGGGACCCAGAACTGGACACAATATTCCAGATGCGGCCTCACCAGGGCAGAGTAGAGGGGGAGGAGAACCTCTCAGGAAGTTATCTCTGAACACCTGTTGAAAAATATTTCTGCACTAAAATGGTGGTCTGTGGTAGAACATAGCTTGTTCAAGGAACTTAGATGGGTTTTTTTGGTGTCTCCCTATACCTTTTGTTTTTTAAATTTTTTGATTGCTGGAAATTTTCTGCTGCTTATCTCTGTCAATAAATATGCATGCAAATTATAAGATCCTTCTAGTAATTACAGTAAACATTAGATCATGCCCATAGGTCAAAGGTCTTTGAAGAATTTGACTTTGATTAGCCTTTAAAGTGAGTATCCAGAACTTACATCAAAACTGTAGTTTGTCCAACTTCCAATCAAAATACTCTGGTTATATTCTTTAAGATGTGGAAAGAACTCGTATTTTTGCTCTTACAAAATGAAGATTATAAAAATAAGAATCTTGATTTCAGTAATGCAAATTTAGAGCCTTTTTAGGCTTCCTGATTTTGATTCAATTTAAACTCAAAACTGCTAAATCAATCAGTGACTTTTATACTGAACTGTTAAGTCTGCTGCCTTTCAGATTTAGGTGCCCCAAAGCTGACAGTTCGAAGCAGCTGTATTTCTGTAATCAACACAAAAAGTCCTTTTTCTCCCTAAATTCACGAGTGTATGCAGCACGTCTGCAAGCTGTGCTAGAAGGGAAAGTCTTGTCACACTCTGGGTGATATTTAGATATGTAGTTAATTGGAGCTCGAGAACATTGCAATGAGGTGTCTGACGACTGCTGCATGATTGGAGGGTTAGCACCAGCAACAGAATCTGCAACACCTCTCTGCCATCCACATCTCAACACTTAGACTCAGTTTTCAGTGCTTTGAAAACGTTTGGTGTATTGTGTCAGCAGAAGACGTGTGGTTTGGCTTTTCTATAGATCCCTTGTGCTGAAACGTGGCTGCAGTGAGAGCTGTGAGTCGGCAGCCACGGGGACAAGGCTGTAACTATGAGACTTTCATCCCTGTCCTGAGCTGAGACTGATGACAGCTTGGTACTCACTAGGTGATTCCTGTCTACGCCGCCTCGCCCCTGGCACGGCAAGGCTCTGCAGGCGGCATGAGGAGGCTCAAGGTGCCTGGGTGTTTGCTGTCCAAGCAGCCACCCACTGCTTCCTCTAGGAAGAAGGTCACCGGCTAGCTGGCTTCTTGGCCGGGAGCCTCCAATGGTCAAGAAGTGGCCACGAGCCACCTGGCAGGCCAGGCTCAGCCAAGGGAGTAATACTGATGCACCTTGAGGATCAAATTAAAATTGTCTCAGGCTCATTATTACCACGCCTGTAACCGACTGCAGGGGAAATAGCGACAACATTTAGACATTTATAAAATTAAGTGCTCAGATATGCAAACAATAATTAGCTGAGAGTTCAAATGGTGCATGTCACGAGCCACCTGGCAGGCCAGGCTCAGCCAAGGGAGTAATACTGATGCACCTTGAGGATCAAATTAAAATTGTCTCAGGCTCATTATTACCACGCCTGTAACCGACTGCAGGGGAAATAGCGACAACATTTAGACATTTATAAAATTAAGTGCTCAGATATGCAAACAATAATTAGCTGAGAGTTCAAATGGTGCATGTCAAAGGTTGCTTCTTGTAAATTAGGCTTACAGTTTTAAGTCGGTCAGTTCTTAGCATTGCAGAGTTAACCCAGCTAAAGAAGAATGAGACAGATGTGGCCTATTAGACAACAGAAATGTAACAGCTCCCTCCTCCACACAATTTGGTTTTGTCTCCCAAGTCTGCATGCCAGCACAGCTCAGAACCTCCTCGTGCAAGATGTTTCAAAAGCCAGGGAGATTTTTTCAGGATACGTGACCACTGTCAGTGCTTCCTTATTGACACATGAACATAACCACATTTTAACTTAAACTTGCTTTTCTTTTGTTGTTGTCATCATTGTTCCAGCGTGTTTCACTCAACAGCCTCTGATGATACAATTTTTTTCAAGGAAAAGAAACGAGGAGAGGTAATAATATGAGGGAGTCATTGTTGTGTACACTAAGAGCACTGTTTGGTTTTAATCCACACTCTCTAAAGTGTGTGTTACATAAACAAGTAATGTCTCGCAGCAGCTGAATTCAGGCCTCCCCCAGCTGCAATCACAGCACACCAGAATGTGGCACATATCCAGCTGGTGGTGGTCCAAGGCTACGCGAGTGACGAGCTTCCAAAACCTCAGACAGCAGAGCCAGTGCAGAAGTGTCTTTGCAATAGATCCTAAATTTAGTAAGGTGTGGGGTCATGTGAATACTGCCTGGCAGGTGCAAATGCCGCCCCTGGTGATCCTCCAGGGAGAAAGTGCTGCCACGAGGTCTGTAAATACTGTCATGAAGTATAATTACTCAGCAAAGTTGTTTCATCAAATTGTGTAATTTTGAATGATTTCAGGAAATTTGCAAATCAGGCTAAAGTCTTGGGTGATTTTATCTATTAAGGGATAAGGTGTCAGATGATACAATTCAGGTTAATAGGCTGCATTCAACAGCATCAGAAAACGTTTTTGAGAAAACTTTTTTTGTTACAAGAAAAATTGATGAAAGGAGACAGATTTAGCAGCAATTTAGACATCAGACATATAAATAGCTAATGCACTAAAATTTTTTATTAAATATATGTATGTTCAGTACCTTTTGAAATCTATCAACACCATATTCAGTATAGTTGAATCTAATGGTTGTTCTAATTCCTTAAAATAAGTGGCTACTACCATCTGATTTCTTTAACATTTTATAGTAGGTAAGCTGTTATTAAAAAATTATAGTTCTTTATATTAATGAATTTATTTAGATAGAGCTGTGAACTGGCTTTAACAAATTACCGTGTGAGAAAATACGATACTCTCACCTGTTAAGTTTGTGGAGTACAAAGGTTGAGATATTTTTAAAAGAATTTTTTAGCAGTGAGCTAAGCAAATACTGATAGCACGTTTGGGAGGAGAAGTTAATTCAGGTTAAGCAGAATTGTCAACACAAAACCGTTCAAATCTAAGAGCAGCATTTAACCTTTGATACCGACATTTTTTTGAGAAACCGTGAAACAAAATGCATATATTATTTAACCACAAGAGGTCATCATAGCACTGCTGTAAACCACCTTTCTCCAGTTTTTTTTCACCTTCGCTAAAAGAAACTTGGAAAGAAATATGAAAACAGTTTTGGCTTTTTAAAATTTGTTTTCAGCTAATCTAAAGTTAACAATAAAAACCACATTTACCGATTATTTCCTCAGAGGTGATGAACAAAATATTTCCATTTAACCTGTATTTTTGCTGTATGCAAAGATTTTCCTCTTTTTTTTTTTTTTTCTTTTTATAAGTGTTGACAGCTCCTAGCCACGAGGTTAACACTGAAGAACAAATGACAAAGAATCAGCAGAAGAGTGAGTGACTGGTGTTATACCAGTGGAATGTTGACTAAATCATATGAGTTCAAAGTTACTCTTTTTTCATTAAAAGTTCTCAAAGGGCATTTTTTTTGTCTTGGAATCTCATTTAGAAGTATATTTATAGCAGGTTTAGCCAGACAGATTTCTGCTTAAATTGTGGTTTTGCTTATCCAGGAACAAAATTCACTCAAGTCTTGACTGTGCAATTGCTTATGCACATAATTAGCATTATGCTAAGCCAGATTCACTGTTATCAGTGTATAGTGCTGCTTCCATGTGTGAGTGAAACAGATTTCTTCATCTGTGCATATATTGACTCTCTGTGTTTGGATGTAGGAGATTTCTGACCTAACACTAGCTCTATATTCTCTATGTTTGCTGTTCTATTGGTGGAAAGTGAGTTTCACTCAGTTATACATCAGAAGTGTTTTTAAAAATACAACCTCTTCTTTCAGCTGTTCCCCGCCTCCCTCCCCGGAAAAAAAGGATTTTTTTAAGATCATCCTAGTTAAAATTGTTATGAGCTGTGAACTATTCAAATTAAAACCATTTTAATTTTCTAACACAACTTAATACTGTCTAAACTGAACAAGAGACTTTTGGAATGCAATGCTTCCAGTGTTGTTTTTGTTACGTATCTTTGCACTGGCATTTAAAGTCAACTGCATCAAAACTCCTTAAACTTTGTAAATTCTGGAATGTTCTGCTATAAATTTCTGATGGGTGTGAGCCATTCCTAAAAGTCCTTCCAAAGTATGATCTGTTGAAATCCCTCATTTTCTGAAATA